CATGTTTTAAAGAATGTCGAATTCTATCTTGAAGTTAAATCGTTAATTTTTTTGTTATTATTAATAAGAAAAAAGAATTCAAATAAAAACAATTATAGAAGACACGTATATTTATTATATATTTTTTTTATTTCATAAAATTTAAAAAATATTGGGGATTCCATCATTTAAACACGTGACCATTGGCCAACGTGTAACCCTCCAAATGCACTTATGGAGGGTACAACTCTATGCTCAGGCTTAAACATCAAACCACCCACCTTCTCAAAAGGGAGGTATGCTCGCACACTATACAACGATTCTGAACAGAAAATAGTTTGGACTGTTGCTAATGATAGCAAAGATTGCTTGCAAATGATCTACAGTGCATATGTTCTAGACGTGAAATTTAAATGCATAAAATTAAAATTTTTCACACAACTCTGGATCATATGTACGGAAGTGGAAGGTGAAATGCTTAATTATGACATTATAAGGTTGGAAGCATTCATCCAAAGCAAAATGGATGAGTCTTCATCAGAAGGTTTACTGTGCTAAACCATGTAGACAAATAGCTGACCATGGTGCTACAAAAGTGTTATCATTGGGATTAGCTCATAAGTCTTTTCAATTTTGTTTAAGCTGTTATTCATTTAAGCAGGGTGAGGACAGGTGGCAGCTTTAGACCATCACATTAAATGGGATGCTGGAAAAGGATGGGGGACAGGCAAGTGTGGCTTGAACCCGTCCCCCGTCCTTTTCAAGTTTGGCCCATTAATACTAGAAAAGGACGGGCAATTACGAGGGACAGGCGTGGCGCGGTCGAGGTACAGCATCCCGTCCCCTGTCCTTTTCTATTATTCATGGAGAAGGACGGGTTACTGTGCCATTACCACTTTGACCTGTTGTTTTTTTTTTATTTGTGGGTGAAAGCTGTTTGTCATAAATATAATTTTTAGTAACAGACCGCAAAATAATATCTCATCTCCATTTATTTCTTATTTAAAATCTTGATTTTTATTTTTTATTTATAATGGACAAGACAAAACTTGTGTAAAAATAAAATCATGAATACAAGTCATAATAACAAGTTAATTAATAATAATAATCTTTTGATTTGTTCATAAATCTATCTTATAAAATAAAAAATATATATTAATATCACATATTTACAGTAATTAGGCAATCACCATCCCATGTATAGTGTTAACAACGGTTTGTATAGAAAATTTGTAATTAATTCGTTGCCCGTAATTAATTTCGTCACCTGTAAATTAATTACGTAATTACATAATTAATTACCGTTTTCACTCTTTAAAAACGTTAATTACGAATTACGTATTTACGGTAATTAGCCAATTACCATCTCATGTATAATTATTATGATTTATTTGAACTTGAAAACATTCAAGAAATTATTCATAATTTAAAGAATTTTTTTAAAAATCCAAAAAGTTGTACATGTCGTATTTTTGAAAGACAAAAATAGAGGTTGGAATCGACTAAATAGTCAACTATTTTAATCAATTATTTAGTCAACTATTTTAGTCAAGTGCTAATACTGCTAATACTAATGCTAATACTATGCTAATATTATTATTGTCTGACCAATTACAATTTTTGTGTTTTATCATTCAAAATGGAAAATTTCTATGCAGAAGAGTATCAATGCAATCAGTATGATGATGACAACAATAGTGGTGGTGTTGTTGATGATAATTTTACATGTGAACAAATAAACACTTCTGATACAAGGTCCATTAGTTCATTGGCTTCAAGTTCTGATGATTTAAGCGGTGGTTCCAGAAGACCTTTAAAAAAACAAATTGTAACACATGATTTTGCATGGATGTATTTTGAAAAAGTGAAAGATTCAAATGGAAATTAATTTCATAATTTGCAAATTAAAAAAAAAAAAAAGAAAACAAATTATTATTATTAAAAAAAATTTTTTAATTGACTGATTAGTTGATTAAGAAATTTTGGCCAACAAGTAGCCAACTAAGGATTTTTTTGGACAATTCCAATCTCTAGACAAAGAGATATTAGAACTTGAAAAAATTAGATTTAAAAAATTCTTTCAAAAGATATTTTCAAATTATTAATTTAGCTAATAAAGAATTAGATTTATTTTTGAAAGCACAACTTTTAGCAATAGGAATAGAAAACAAAAATTGTAAAGAGCCCTCTGAAAATATTCCTCAGAGAATAAATTATAAATTTTGTTTTAATTCAGCATATTCTCTTTGTAAAACAGCATTTTTAATGTCATACAATATAAGTGGCCATAGGTTCAAAATATTGTAGAACATTTACATAAATGAACAAAATTCATGCAAAAACAGGGAGAGCCCTTATACATAAAACTAAAGTCAATATTGATGAAAATTTAAAATCCATTGTAAGAAATTTTTTAAATCAATATTCTTTAATACATGGTTACCTTCACCAATGAGGCATAGGAATGATTCTGGAGCATTTATTTATCTTCCTACTGATAAAAAAATTTATATCTGTATAAAGAATTTAAAATTTTATTTAGAAAATATTTTAAAAGTTGAATCAGAAAATGATTTAGAAGAAAAAAAATTATTTCTTACAATTCTTTTAGAAGATTATGGAATGAACTAATGCCTAATTTAAAATTTCAACCTCCTGCAAGTGCCAAATGTTTCAAAAATGACATTTTTTTAATTTTAATCACGTGCCTTTCCACATCAAATGCTGCGCCATTTACCGAAAATTTTAATGGTGATCTTTCCTGATTAAGAAATCGTTCGGATATAGTGCTTCATATCTAATAACATCAAATGCTGCGCTTATTGCCAAAAATTTTTAATGCTGATCAAGAAATCATTGTGAATTAAATTATATAGAAAGTTTTTGGGAAGTAACTAAAGAATACACTAAAAATAATTGTAATTATTTATTTAAAGAATTAGAGAGAACTGTTCCTCTGGCATTGAACTCGGTTTCACTTTGTAAAATTGGAAAGTTTGCTAGAAGATGTTATAGATTTATGGATGCTTATAGATTAGGACTTTCAGGAAAAGCTTTAATATTTGCAGCAAAAAACTCATAGAAAATTGCCAGAATTTATGTTAATGGGATGCAGATATATTATCATTGAATGTTGAATGATTGTTATATGCATCACGTGATAAAAGTTGATCTATATTAGTTTTCTGATTGGTCAAATTAGTTTGATAGGCGCGTGCCGAATTTTTTTAATTAGTAATAGTAATAAAATTACTTAATTTTAAACCCCCATAACCTTTTATTTTACTAATTAACTTTAAAAAATCTCTCTATTACATTGTTGCTTATGTTCCAAAGATTTACAAAAATAGAAAAGATTTTTATGGACCAACAAATATTTCCAAAGTTATCATCAGGGCTTAAAGATTTGCAATTTTTTTTGATGTCTTTAGATATGGCACACCATATAACATTATCTGGAATCTTTCTATGAGACTTATATTTTTTACAATATATTCAGCCTGTAACACTGTTAAGGGTAGGAAAATCACGTGTCAATTTATATGTAGGTCGACAGCTCAAAAATCTGAATTAAGAGTAAGAATTAATAATGCTATAAATTACATAAATTACTGTATATTATTATTTAATTTTTTAATTTAAACATTTCTTATAAATCTAATTTTCATGTTCTAAATGACCAAATGCGAAAAATATTTTGTGCACCAAAGTTACTATTGACACAACAAATTGCTCACTCTGGTGGACAATGTTTATACTGTTATGAAGAAAGAAGGATGATTTTAGAAAACCTTATTACTTTCAGCATTAAATAACACCGTTTTTCTTCCTTCTCGTGGTGGTAATTCCTCCACATCATCAACAAGTAAAGGAATTAATGAGGAATCTTCTGATCTGAATCCACCACTCAAAATTTACCTTTGCATGAAGATTTACATTTATTATCCAAAAACATAACATCAATAAATCAATATGTTTCCTTCTGTTGCATCTTCTGTTACCAATGATAACAAAGATCAAAAGAAAACCTTTTCTTTCTACAAAACTGAAATGTGCTGCAGTTTGGAAAAAGATGTTTATAGGCAAGTATTTATTATTTTTGATACATTTATAACATTTATAAATTTTTATTAGTTATAAAAGTTATCAATTTTTTCTTTTTTTCCTATATAATAATACAGATATGGAAACAGATGCCAATTCGCACATTCTCTAATTTAATTACAACATGTTAATCATCACTATAGATGGGTGTCTAAACTAAATTATTTAGACAATGTCTAAAATATAAATTAATTTAGACATTCAGACAATCATGGTCTCAATTGTCTAAAATGCTGAAATTGAATTTTTTATTGGATAATTTACTGAACTTTGTGGATTTTGTGTATATACACGTGACTTTTAGTTGTATTTAAAGCAAATCATTACTATTTATATTAATTTAGACATTTAGACATTTTTGTCTAAATATTATTTTGACTTTAGACAATCCCAAAAACAATTTAGACACCCATCTATAGAACATACCAATTGGAATGGACATAGAAAGATCATTTTTACTAAAAGTATTGGTGTTAAAAAAACGATCAAATTTGATTTTTTTTCCTTTATGTAGTACAGCGTGCTATTTTTTAATTTTTCGGATATATTAATATATATACTAGATTATCTCGGCCAATCATTTACAAATTATTTGTAATACATTTAATTTTTGTCCAATCAAAAGTCATATTTAAAAATAAAGACTATTTTTTTTCCCATTAATTTTTAATTTTTTTTTAAAAACTACACATCAACCAACTACTTTTTTAATTCTGTTTGTTCAACATAATACTCTAAAATATACATACATCTCAAATTTAAATATAAATCATAGTTTTCAAAATATTCAAAATACTGTTAATTCGCTCTATAGAGTGATTAATATTTAGATTGTACATACATTTATATTTTGTTTCTTTCGTACAATTAATTAAAATAATTAGTATTAATTGTTGTATATATAAATTTATGAAATCATGAAGAGTGGTAAGTGATAATAATAACCATCTGTACAACTTTAGTACAAGAGCGGAGGAATAATAATTAAATAATTAAATATGTATTATTTATTAATCGTAAATATATAGAAATTACAACTATTACTGTTTCACAGCCTGTTGAGGATTCTGATAAAATTGTAGATCCTTCTGTTTCCACTACTACAAACATTAATGATAATAATGATAAAAATAATAAGACATCAACGGTGCAAAAAACCAACGATGACAATGATAAAAACAAGTCAAATTTAACTGAAAATAATAATGACGATGATGATAACGATGATGATGACGGTAAGAAATTTAATAATATATGTATATCATAAAATAATAACAAAATAATAATATATTAACTGCTACCAATATATTATAGAGCTTCTTATTAATAAAAGACCAAAGAGAGCAGTGAAGCAAGTAGTTCCTTTTAGCTATGAAGCTAAAGAATCCAAGAGTCGCTCAAGAAAGAAATTAGAAAATATTGGCCAAGGCTCAGGAACACCTCTTGGTGAAATCCCCGCTGTTTCACGTAATATTAATCGTTTAAAATACAATGATGATGTATTGAAAGGTCTACACAAACTCTTTTATGGAACTGTTGGTATGAAAAATGAGATTAAATCAAACATCCGCCGATTTTCTGGATTTTCTAATGCCACGCCTGTAGACGAAATTGTCATTAAGGAAAAATTGGAAAAATGGAAATTAATTGGACTGAAAAACATGTGTACTGTCTTTAACTTGAAAGCAAGTGGCGATAAAGGAACTATAATTGATAGACTTTATAGTTGGTTAATAAATCCAAAAGAAGTATCCGGTTCTGATGAGAGCAAGGCTCAGAGAAAAACTAAATCATCATTATTATCATCTAAAAAATCCAAAGCTCCTCGTAAGAAATCTGCTAGAGACATTTTTATGAATGAAAAAAGATCATTATATAGAGCTATGGAAGAGCACAAATCTAAAAATCGTGTTGACATTGATAAGATTTTATCTGAGGCATGGAAAGGCGTATCTGCTGAGGAGAAAAAAGAATTCGAAGAAAAAGCAAAAGAAGAAAATATTAAGACCGGTAAAACAATTAATAAAAAGGTAGTCTATATATTTATTAGATTATTTATTACCCGTGACTGAGAATAATGTTAATAAAAAAATATTATTCACTCATTCAAACTAATTTAGCAATCATCTAAAAAAGTTAAATCTTCTGAAACAAAAAACAAAACTGGTTCTGATAGTGAAAGTAATGAAGAAGAAGATGAAAGTGAAGATGAAAACAATGAAGGCGAAGATAATGAAGATGATAAAGTTGCCGATGGCAAAACTGATGATGATGATAAACTTGCTAATAAAGATGATAATAAAGAAATTGGCAAGGTTGATAACGACAATAGCAAAATGGATATTGATAAAATTGTCGTGAAAACTCAAGACGATGTGAAAAAAAATAAAGAGTCAAATGGCGTTGATAAAGGTAATGATAAAGAAAAGTTGATGAAAGACGACGAAGATCAAGAAATTAAAAAAGGAATAAGCGATGAAGCTGAAAAAGTAACCAAAGTTTCAAGAAAGCGCAAATCGGCAAATGATGACAAGGATGAAAAATCTGGTGAAAGTTCTAAAAAAAGTAAAGCAGCAACACCAGTAGAAGTTAGTCCCGGTGTCGAGAAAGCTTCTAAAAGTTCAAGAAAACGTAAAACACTAGGAGAATCAGGAGAACTAGTAGAAGATCAAGATGAACAACACAAAAGTTCATCATCAAAAAAGATCCAAGTAACCGATCCTGCAATTGAAAATAAACGAAAACGTGGCAAAAACTGAAATTATAAAATATTAGCAGAAATCAAATTTTGGAAAAAAAAATTTTTTTTTTCATTTTTTATCAAATATTTTTTTTTTTTGATTTGTCGTTCGTAGTATTAATGTTATTATTATTAATAAAAAATATTTTTTTCGTTCTAATTTTTGATTATTTTTGGATTGAAAGTCCATTCACATCGATGGCTGGCTATTGTTGTAAATGATTCGGCTGTGTGTCAATTAATCGAATAAAGATATCGTGTAAAATTTTTTAACAGGTTTATTATTATTTTAAATAATAAAACAAAATATGGCACTAAAAATACAAGATAATAAATAAATAAAATTCTTTTTTTATGTCAAACTGTTTGATGATTGTGCACTAGGACCAGAAGAGAATGAAATTAAATTTCTCCATCCATATTATATGATTTTTAAAAATTATAAAGTTTATAAAATTTTAATTACTTCGATTCTTTCCAAAATTTATCAATTCTTTAATATTTGATGACCAAAGATTGAAACTCGTATCAGTTAAATAATTATCTAGTAATTCATGTTCTTTAACCGATTCTGATGACAAGAATCTAAATATAAATCTTTTTAATGCTGGTGCAAATGAGTTTGCTGGTGGATTATTTAATTTCCTCAGTAATTATTGCTTCAAAATTAATTGAACTTTCAATCATACTTTTCAAAACATTATCAATTACTATTTTATATTTCTTGTATGTTCAATCACTCCATTAGCATAATAGAGTTCATATGATATTTTTAAGTTTCAATCCTAGCTTCCATATATTCTTGAATTCATTGTTGTCACGAGCCAATGATGACAACCTGGCACCAACTGATGCTCGTTTAATAAAACATAAAATTAATTCCAAAAATGATAAAATTCTTATGATCTTAACAATTTAATATCACTAATAAGCTTGTAATAATATTAGAATGACTCAAATGCGAGTTTTCTTTATTCTGCTCAGCATAGTATTTTTCATAACCAAACTCTTGGCAAGCTCCCCTTCAATATTTCGTAAGTTATAAATGATTTTTTGCCCTTGTACAACAGCCAAACTTCTTTGACTATAAACCAAAAAATCATTATCTCATTCATAATTATTAAATTAATTTCTTTAAATTGTCCAATTTAATTTAATTTCTGGTGGATAATAATACATTTTAGTATCAATTACTACGTTATGATTTCTAGATCCTTGTAAAAATTTGATAGGTTCACATTTTCCGATTGGTGTTGTCAAAATGTTTCTCAAAAAACTGTTTTGTATTTCTACAAGATTTTCTATTATTGCGCGCATACATATGATCTTTGATCTTCTGGACCAATTAACCCAAAGATTATTGGTCTGTGTGTGTTCATTTCTGGTACATCTACCAGTTTTTTTGTATTGGTTACTGTATCTTCTTTGATCATTTGATTCCATAATAATGAAAATCATGAAATAACTTATTAAACACAAGTTCTTGTGATACATCATTTTCTTTTTGTTCAAAAATAGTTTATTGTTTAAAGGTTGTATTGTTTGCGGTCAATCTAGTTATCCGATAACTTAATCTTAATGATAAAAAGTTCACAAATTTTATAATGGCTGATAAATGTTTAACTTATCAATCATGGTGCTTGAAAATATTGTTAAAAATGGGATATGATCTTTGTGCTGGTTTTTCTAATGCTCCATAATAATGTGCTCTAAAATTATCAAAATTACTCTTGCCAATATATCTCCAAAGTTTAGGTAGATATGATTTCTGACAATTCTTATTCATTGATAATGTTTGATTTATCTCTCCAACGACATTACTGTCAAAATAATACATGCTCATTGACTCTTCTAATTTGAATAATGAACTTGGTTGTTGATTCAACAATATTTTTAGTAAATGGTACAATATCTGCAAACCTTATTTCCCAATCTTCTCTTTGTTTTGGATTCCCATATGACAATTCATATGGTTTCAGCAATAGTGTTTAGTATTACATGGGATGATAATGAGATATTTGTGTGAATGTGGATATAGATATAAATATGTTGTTAACGAGTAAGGTGGGAAAATTGTAGAAGGAATATGTCTCGAGTGTAAAAGTAAAATCGAGGAATTTATTATCAATCTAAAGAAGATGATAAATTAACTAAACATTACATTTTCCTTGATACACCAGTTTCAGATGTAGCAGTATAATCTACAAAAGACGGACAAATCAATATAAATCCATGATTACATGTTTCCAATAAACCAATAATCTTAATGTCTTAGATGGCATAGATGAGTGTAACCCTATTATGTGCTATGACTGATTTCATTTCTAAATTGTCTTTTATTAAAGTGTCTATCAACCTTTAAAATATGAAATTCATTATTTATTAAATTCTGTATTAATTTTTTATATAAAGGTTCTACATTATATTCATTTTGTAAAACTTTCTTTACTTCACTTTCCGCGTGTCTCATTTCACCAACCGACATTAGTAATTGTAATCTTGTAAATATAAATCTAAAAAAGGCTATACCCGGTGTTAAAGTTGAATCGTTTTACATATCCTTTACTATTATTATCAGTCACCGTTTTTAAAAGCTATCTCGACCATGCGATAATTATCTAATGCCAATAAGGATTAAACAACAAGATATAGTCGTAATCAAAATCCCATTTTAGACCATAAAACCATTGTACACTATTTTGATTCAATGCTAAATAGAAATTCTTTGAAAGAAAATCCTCGTTGATGTAATTCTCTCAAGAAATAAAATTTAAAAAATTTTATCAATGGATAATCTCTACTCAAACTACCGTTTAAAGTGTTAACCGCTTCAAGCCCATAAAGCTCTCCTATATCAAAGAATAATAGTTGCCAAGGTTCAGGATAAATTTAATGATTGACATATAATGACATGATAATATTAGGAACTAAGGATTCATCATCACATGAAGCTACAAACAATTTTCCAAGTTGTACAACATCTGATTTTCCATGGAGATTTTAATATTTCTAGGGTTTCTTGAAATTAATTCAAAAGTTTCAAACCAATTTCAGATAATAGTCATTATATCCATGTGAAATATCTTTTTCTAGTAATGGCGGAGGTGGTAATGTAGCTTTAATATTAAGATTTCACATTATTCTTTATTAACATTTTGAATTCGTCTTACATATATTTTTTTCAAGTCAATATAATTCGTAAAATAATCCTAAAATTTAAGATATGTCCAAGTGGAAAAAAAGTCAAATAATAGTGCTGTTTTTATAATTTATTAATGATACTCTCCCTAAGTTTACAAAAAAAATTTTGAATGATAAATAAATAAATATATTTAAAAAGTCAATAGATTACATACCATTCTTCTAAATCTTTCCCCACTTCGAAACGAATTCATCTCAGATTCACTTCTTTTAATAGAGATATGAAATTCTTTATAATCAAAATGACACATTGAATAAATTTTGTAGCCGTATTAATCATTTCTTGAGCCAAGTCTACTTGAGGAACAAGTTTATCTATAATACCTTTGCTAAATTTTTATTCATCATCAACATTATTAATTGATGCAAAGGATTTGCCAAATAATAAAGTTTTACCACGTAAATCATAAGTTGTTGAGAGTGTAAGTGGGACTCACTTTAATTTTTGATGGATAAGTCATTGTCACAAAACATTTATCTTTACCTTTGTCATTAAATACGTTGAAATGTATAGATACCTATTCTGACTGCATTATTTATTTTAGCTCTTGCAGCTTATAAAAATTCTTCAATTCCATATGATGACTATTTACATACAGTGGTGTGCAGTGTTGGAAATTCGTCGATCTTATGATCTGCAAAAAAAAATTTGTGCACATATGAACACAAGAAATTTTTATTTAAATAAAATTCGTAAAATTACAAATTATAGAAATAAATAGTTCTATGAATTAATTCTCCTATTTTTTTTATCTTCCCAATATTCACATGCTTTCTCAAAATTAAAGTCTTCAATTTCAGGTCCATTTAGTAAAATCATCAAATGATTATTTAATGTATCAAGATTCATTTTGTTCCTTAATTTATTCT